AGCCGAGGGCGCGAGAGCCGCGCCGGGTCCCGCGAGCGCCTCGTCGGCGCCCCCCTCAGCCTGGCGCAGCGAGACTACCCCAGGCACGACTACTATCAGCACAAGCCCCAGGACTATCCTAGTAAACTCCAAGATTATCCGAGCAAGGGGCAGGACTACCCAACCAAGCCCCAGGACTACCCGGGCAAACCCCAGGACTACCCCAGCAAACCTCAGGACTATCCTGGCAAGCCACAGGACTACCCAGGCAAACCTCAAGACTACCCGGGTAAGCCACAGGACTACCCGACCAAACCTCAGGACTACCCTGGCAAGCCCGGGGACTACCCGGCCAAGAATGGCGTGAGCACGCCCGTGTACAAGGCGCAGAGCCGAGAGGTCGTCCCCGCGCAGCGCCAGCAGTCTCCGGGCGTCGCCCTGGGCATGATGAGCTCCCCGGGCGGAGGCGCCGCCCTGCGCGAGCGCGTGGCGTCGCCGCACCGCGTCACGTCGCCGCCCGTCAAGCTGCAGGAGCCGCAGCGCCTGGCCAGCCCGCCCGTCAAGATGGCCGACTCGCGCGCGCAGCACGACTACGGCAAGGTCGACTTGCCCAAGCTGGAGGGCTCGCCCGCGGGCGGCGTGGGCGTGCCGCGCCTCAGCCCCGCGGGCCTCGGCAGCCACTTCGTGCAGCAGTACCCGGAGCGCGACACGCCGGCCGCGTCGCAGAGCGGCGGCAGCGGCGCCGCCGTGTGGGAGGGCGGCTACCCGCTCACGCCCGAGAAGTACTCGGTGTCCGGCCCGCCCACCTCCACGTACTCGCCGCTGCCGCTGTCGGCGCTGCACATGCAGTCGTCGCCGTCGCACGGGCAGCGCGTGCAGCACGACCCTCCCGAGAAGGTGCTCGACGCGCTCGACCAGAAGAAGGACCTGAGTTACTCCTGCAGCAGCGGCAACAACAACAGCAGCAGCCCGGGCGCGGAGGACGCCGTCGAGGACAAGTACCGGGAGTACCCGGCGGAGAAGGACGAGGGCGGCGACCAGGAGGTGCTGGTCGACGGCTGCGACCTGCAGAAGCTGGCCGAGGTGACCAGCAAGACGGCGCTCACCGTCCTGCCCGACGACGTCGACACCTACAACGAGCTGAACAAGCACCACCTGAACGGGCACCTGAGCGCCCACCTGGACCACCTGGGCCGGCCCGCGGGCCAGCTGACCCCCGAGAGCACCGACTGCGGCTCCCTGAGCAAGAGCTCCTCCGACGGCGACCACATGATGAACCGCAAGCGGCCGCCGACCAAGCTCAAGTCGAAGCGGCGGAACATCCTGTCGTTCCCGCACCACCTCTCCGTGGACGAGCTGCGCGTCATACAGGCAAGTGGGCGCCACACGTTCTAGTTCTAAGGGGTTTGGGCGGGTACCGGAGGCAGGACGCTGGCTACCATTTGGGTCTCGGTCAGTATTACCAGTATGCGCGCCGAGTAAGTTATGTAGGTTATCTTACCAAGCGAGTCGCACAGCATGCACTTTAGTAAACTAGTCTAGTGGGGTCGGGGTAGATTTACAATCAACACCAAATTACAAGTCACGTTCATGCTGCTAAGAATGATGCCCCAGTTCTCAGGAGCTAAAATTCAGGCTAACAACTTTGCACTGGAAATACTTGCGGTGGAGATCGCGCGTTCAGCTAACTACCAAGGTCTTGATCCTAAAGCAAGAGAGTTGAAGGCCCCTATGGCTGAGGGCGTGGCTCTCTTCGCATGCCTGTAGGCACGGGGAGATGGCTCGCTCGAGCATATTGAGGGCGGTATTAGACTTATCAGATTTCGGATCTAGTTATCTCTTCCGCCAACAGCTAGGCGTCCTCCCTGCTTTCTTGGAGAACTCTTGATTTGCTTTAAAGATTCACTAAATGTTTCATAAGTCATATACCAACGGGATTATCTTTACTTTGCATATGACCTCTTTTAAACCCATAGAATGCCACTGCGATCTTCCGCTGTGTCTCGCGAAACTGACACCTCCGCGCCATGACGTATGTGCCGGATTCTCCCTGCTTAGGTCAGAGGTCAGGCGAGGGGAGGCAGGGGTTAAGTTTGCGGAGCGCGGCCACCCGTAATTAGGCGGCGATAAACCATTCGCATCATAAGAATCGGGCGAGGAAGAGCTCGGAGTTCACCTCGGAGTAATGAGCACACGGGCCTCTTTGGGACGTCGCCAACGCGCACTTACCTTCGAGCCGATTACACGCATCCATCTTGGTTTATGTTCGGTCGCAAAACCTGCGATCCAGACTCTTTTTTTCCTCCTGCGTGAATCACCGACACTTTCCCGGGCGCGGAGGAAGTGAGTCGGGCAGAGTCACACCTGCATTAGCTCTGCGGTTGTTCCCTCGCCATAAGCCCACCATTAAGGGCGCTCTCGTGTGTGCCATCCATCCCCTCGGAGTGTCGCGGCGTCCTTTTAATTAATGGCACTCCGCCCCCGATGCCAGAGTATGAACGTGACGCAGGGGGCGAGCGGGGAGGGTGCAAGGGAGGCCCATGGGTCTGCAATGGGGCGCTTCCCGTCACGCGAAACCCATTCCCGGCGGAGGAAATAGGGAAGCCGGCCGTCGAGGGGGAGGGGGACCACATGCAACTCTCACTTGGCGAAACGCACGTAAAGTTATAGCAAGGGGATAAATTGGGGGGGGGGTTATTACGGTGCTCTGTATTAAAGGGGGTGTGATTGCATGGCCGTGGCACTCGGGGTGTGTGGCGCAGCGTGGGTTTTCGATTTAGAACGTATCAGATTCAGTTAAAGATCATGACGTTTTTATCATTCGTGCTCTAGCTTGCAAAAAAGTAATAATGATAAAAAGTAAAAAATTAAATAATAATGATGATGATAATGATGATGATAATGATGATAATGATAATAATAATGATGGTAATAATAATAATAAAGACAATGGTACGGGGTAGAAGAAGAAAGACGAACAGACAAAGAATAAGGAAAGGGAGATGGAGAGAAGGAGAGAGAGCCTCTCGGGCGCCGATTGGCAGCGGTGCCAAACGAAAAAGAATAATCCGGCGATCTCGTGCAGGAGCCTCGTTCATCAGGCGATGGGCGGCGGGCGTGAGGGAGCCAGTCGCTACGCCCCCCCCCTCCCGCCACTTCTCGCCGCGAATTATGGCCCTTTAATGAACTTCCACACTTAGGCCACGCACTTTTTAGCGTGATAATTGGCCATCCGTTGGGGATTGGGAGACTTTTTTGGAAAGTGTGTGGGTGGGTGGGTGGGTTGTTTGAGCTTGTGTTTGTTTGTTGGTGGGGTTCCTGCGCGTGTGTGTGTGTGTGTGTGTGTGTGTGTGTGTGTGTGTGTGTGTGTGTGTGTGTGTGTGTGTGTGTGTGTGTGTGTGTGTGTGTGTGTGTGTGTGTGTGTGTGTGTGTGTGTGTGTGTGTGTGTGTGTGTGGTGTGTGTGTGTGTGTGTGTGTGTGTGCGTGCGTGCGTGTGCGTGTGTGCGTGTGTGTGCGTGCGTGTGTGTGGTGTGTGTGTGTGTGTGTGTGTGTGTGTGTGTGTGTGTGTGTGTGTGTGTGTGTGTGTGTGTTTCTATCTGTTTGTCTGTCTTATCTGTTCTGTCTGCCTACCTACCTGCCTGCCTATCTGTCTATCTATCTATATATCTATCTATCAGTGCGTGCGTGCGTGTATATATTTATCTGTCCATGATATAGCGAGTGCTTAGTATCTGCAAGTACCCCCCCCCCCTCCCCGCCGCCCAGCAAACAAACGCACAAGCAACTGCCCCTTCGCCCCCCCCCCCCACACACACACCGAAGAACACGCCACACGCTCAACGACGCCCGTATGCAAACGAGCTGCGTCCCGTCACCGTGCGTGTCGGGAATGTTTACACTTTTGGGAGTCCCTCGCCACCTCTGGGCCGCGGGACCCGACGTGGCCTGCCCTCTGGTGACGACGCGGCGAACTTCTTCCTCGCGTCTGGACACCCGATGACCTTGTCTGTCTTGCCGCTGCGGGTGGGTCTGTGTGGGTCGGGTTGGGGGGGGGGGGAGCTTCCTCTCCGGTCTGGGGATGTGTTTGTGTTTGTCTGGATAGATGGATAGATGGATGAATAAATAGATGGGTAGATAGATAGATAGATAAGAGGGATAGATAGAGTGATAGAGAGATAGATAGAGAGATAGAAATATAGAGAGATAGAAAGAGAGATGATAGAGAGATGATAGATAGATAGATAGATAGATATAGATATATAAATATGGATAGATATAGATATATAGATATGGATATATATATAGATATGGACAGATATATATATATATATAGATATATAGATATAGATATGGATAGATATATAGATATGGATAGATATATAGATATGGATAGATATAGATATATAGATATGGATAGATATAGATATAAATAGATAGATATAGACAAATAGGTATAGATAGATATATAATTGAGAGAGAGAGAGAAAGAGACAAGAGAGACAGACAGACAAACACAGACAAACAGACAGACACAGACACAGACAGACACAGACAGACAGACAGACAGACAGACAGACAGACAGAGACAGACAGACAGACAGACAGACAGACATAGACAGACAGACAGACATAGACAGACAGACAGACATAGACAGACACAGACAGACATAGACAGACACAGACAGACAGACAGACAGACAGACAGACAGACACAGACAGACAGACACAGACAGACAGACACAGACAGACAGACACAGACAGACAGACAGACAGACACAGACAGACAGACAAGACAGACAGACATAGACAGACAGACATAACAGACATAGACAGACATAGACAGAGAGAGAGAGAGAGAGAGAGAGAGAGAGAGAGAGAGAGAGAGAGAGAGAGAAGAGAGAGAGAGAGAGAGAGAGAGAGAGAGAGAGAGAGAGAGAGAGAGAGAGAGAGAGAGAAACTTCCTTGACGGAAATGTATAGAATTCCAACATAATGAAACATCTCTTCGAAAATTCCTATCTATCTTCACTTTCACAACACACAAACATCTCGACTACGGTGGCTTTTCATTCATCAGGTGTTTTGTTTTTCTTTTTTTTTTTTTTGCGTTGTGAAAATTAATTAGATTCTCTTCCATTTGGATAATGTTGATTGATCGACCAGATTGAATTAGTTTTTTTTTTTTTTTTTCTCGCTACTTTTGCCAGAAGATATGAGATTCATAAATATAAATCGGATTATCCCCCCCCCAAAAAAAAAAAAAAAAAAAAAAAAGAAAAAAGAAAAAAAGAGAGAAAAAAAGACAAGGACAAAGAGATAATAGGCGACTTAGGCCTACGTCCGCTCCAGGTGTCGGCATGCAATCGGCTCATGATATATGCGTCGGGGTGTTTAACTTGCCTCGGGCTCACGGCGTGTTCACACTGGGACTTAATAATGTTCGATTTTTTTTCCTTTTTGTGGCTCGATTTGATGTGTGTTTGACTTGGAGATTAAGTTTTTTAAAATCTTTGTGTGATCTTTTTTTTGTTTTGTTTTGTTTGCGTGTGAGGGATTTTTTTTTTTTTTGGGGGGGGAGGGTGGAAGGGGGGAGGGAAAGGGTTGCGTCGTGTTGTGTGTTACGTGTCTTGTAATTTGGAGCGGGAAGGCGTGATGATCTGACCTTGGAATAAGTTTTAATTTTTTATTTATTTTTTATTTTTTTTATGTCTAACAAGTTCGTGGCAGAATATTTTTTTGAGGATTTCCCTGACATTTAGACTGACAGGAACACCAGCTCCCGGCGTCACCTTGCCCTTCGGCTGACTTGCTTAACTATTCTAACCTCCCCCCCTCCTCCTACAGCGCCGGCAGGACTCGTATGGCGGCGGGTCGTCCTCGGACGAAAACAGGTCGTCCGGCCACGCCTCCATGTCCGACGGCCACACCTCCTCCTCGCCGCCCATCGACTCGCTGCCGCGCCACGACCACCTGAGGTCCAACCTGAAGGTGGTGCCCGAGGACGAGCGCCTCTCTGCGGCCGTGACCTCGGTGGCGGCGGGCTACAAGGGCGCGGGATCCGGCCGGCGAGGTCAGCCCAGGCCGCGCCACAGAGCCACGCCCTCCAAGGTAAGGGGACGAGAAACTTTTTCTGTTGTGTCTTTCGTGAAATTTGATTTAATCAGGACGCGAATCGGCGGATCTCTGTCCGATGAAGCCAGATGGCCGAACGAAGGGTTAATTAGGTCGCCTTTTATTCCAGGACGACCTGTCCCTCCCGCTGGAGAGCGCCAGCGGCCTGGAGGACATCAAGCAGGCCATAGAACAGCTGACGATGCGCTCGCAGGGCTCGAGGACCAGCTACTCCACCTCGACGTACTCCTCGATGTCGGGGTCGGAGGGCGAGCCCGTGCGCCGCCTCATGCGCCACTCGTCCCTCGAGACCATCAACACCAACGTCACCGCCGCCGACGAGTTCGTGTGGGTGGACTCGCACAACAGGTGAGGGCGATGCGGGTTTGTCCCTTCGATGAGTCTTCCTGGAAATTACTCGTGTCCTCCACCTCTCTAAATCATTTGCCTCTCTCCTGCACGGCACTAAACCCTTCCCCCTCTCTCCCCTCCCTAGACTGGTGGAGCTGCAGCAGCTGCCGTGGAGCAACCACGACGTGCTGCGCGTGGTGCAGCAGGGCCGCGTGCGGGAACAGCTGGACCGCGTGAGCATGGAGGCCGTGCCCAGACTCTCGTACCTTCTCCAGAGGGCGCTGGTGCGCGTGGCCCGGGAGGCGCAGAGGCTCACCCGCCCCCTGGCCATGTGCAGCAAGCAGGAGGTGTCGTCCGCCCTCAAGATCGTCCTCTCGCCCGCCCTCGCCGACTCCTGCATCAAGGTGGGATCATCGCCCGAGATCGCTGTGTTTATTTAAGTTGCCTCATTAATTGACTTTCTATACTTATTTTATAGTGTCTAGAATATAAACACATTTCTTTATTGTTTTGGTAATTCTTTGATCTAACCACACTCCTTTGGCGTCCCAGGCGTGCTTGCGAGCCGCGGCCATGTACACGGTGTGCGGCGACCAGCTGCGGCAGTCGAAGAGCGCGCGAGCGGGCCTCAACCTCTCGGTGGGTCGCTTCATGAGGTGGATGTGCGACGTGCGGATCGGGAAGTTCATCCACGAGTGAGTCGGATTGCTCATTTGTTACGTGAATGGTTGGATTAATATTATAAGCGAATTTCTCAAAGAGTAACTAGTGCTAGCCCTCCTCCTAACATACACTACCCTTCCTCGCAGATACGCGGCCGTGTACCTGACCGCCGGGATGGAGAACCTCCTGGAGGAGATGGTGCTGCAGTGTCTCCCGGCGGAGGAGGACCACATGCTCACCGCCAGCGTCTTGGAGCACGCCATCGCCAACAACGGGGACCTGTGGGGCCTGCTGCAGCCCTACGCCCACCTCAACGCCGGGAGAACCGCTACGGGTACGTCCTCGGGTTCGGGTTTGGGTGCTGGGAGGGAACGAATATTGGTGTTAAGATTGTTAAAAGGGTTAATATTGGGGGGAAATGGAGGGACGTCTATTTAAGGGATTCAAGGATTCCTAGGATAAACTCCTGACAGCTAATGAGTGAAGGTAGAATGATACGATCGTAAAACATATTTACAGACACATGTTAAGAATAAATAAATAGGCAAATGCTCATAAACATAATAGCAATAACACCAACACCAACAGCATCAGTCACAACGAAAGCCAAAACTGAACAGGAAATATCTCTGAGCACGAAGTCTCTCTCCCGGGAAGCCTCGACTCCTTGGCCATCTGAAGGCGGCGTCCTCTCGGCTCTCAGGGTTTTAATTAGCCCTCGTTTTAGGGTCACGTCGGGCGGTCATTATTAATAAACTTATTAAGGCTCTCTCGTTTTGATTTATTCGCCGTTACTCTGTCATTTATTCGTTGCTCCTGCTTTGTTCCTTTGCTTGCGTTTCTTGTCGGTTTCTTTAATTTTCTTTATTCTTTGTTTTGTTTTTCGTCTTATTGGTTATTTTGTTTGTATCGTCGTTTCTCTCTCTCATTTTTTTATTTTCTTTTCTTTTCCTTTCTTACGTCTCTTCCTTTATTCTCACTCCCCCTTTTCCCATTCAGCATCACTCTTTCTTTTTCGTTCTTTTTCCTCTTTCATTTCGTTCTTCACTCTCATCTACACCCTCCCTACCATCCCTCACCCCTCTTCCTCGCACGAACAAAAAGTTTAGGAAATGAAAATAGGTAAATGTAGAAACTTAAATACAGGAATAAACAGATAAATTAATAAAGTGAATCAAATAACAATGAAGGATTAAATGAAAAATAAGCAAAACGTAAAAAGGACATTCCTACACCTCCTCCCCCTCCATCCCCATCTCCCACCTCCTCCCCCTCCATCCTCCCCTCTCCTCCCCCTCCATCTCCTCCCTTCACCTCCTCCTCCCCTCCATCTCCCCCTTCACCCCCCATCTCGGGATATAAGTAAAACATCTTCCGCGGAAAATCGCTTGTTCAACACACGCGCTGAACGGCTGAACACGCACCCACGACACTGATGATGGGCGGGGCATGGGCGGCGCACTCACTGTCTCGTGTTGGGCGTGGGCGGGTTAGTGGTCGAGTCTTGGCTTCCTTGTTGAGAGTTCGTGGAAAGGGGGAGGGAGGGGTGTTGTTGTTGTTGTTGTTACTAGGTGATGATTATTGTTTTCGTCATTGTTGCCGATGTTGTTATTATTGGTATCATTGTTATTGTCATTATTGTCTTCATTATTACTGAAATTGTTATTACTATTATCATTTATTATTATCATTATTCGTTTATGAGGGAGTGTTTGTGTGGCTGTAAGCATTGGCATTGTCATTCCTGGTGTTACTTGATGTAATTATTCGATGCAGATTTTAGCGTTATGACGTTTTCGTCTATTTTATGCCACCACTCTTGGCTGTCAGTTACATAATGGTTCCAGTGAAGAGCCTCCGGGCTTCCTAATGTGTTTGGAGCGTGCACTTGACCCCCCCCTCTTCCCACAGGCGCGCTGTGCCTCCCGCGGTGGGCCAGCACGGCCAGCATCGAGGCGGCGTCCGTGAGCAGCGCGTCCACGGGCGGCAGCCGGTCCAGCGGCGCCACCACGGGCTCCTCGGGGGCGTCGGGGGCCTCGGGCTCCTCCGTCCCGCCCTCGGCAGCCAACGACGGCGCAGGCGGCGGCAGTGGGGCCTCCGGCAGCAGCAGCGGCCCGCAGCCTTCGAGGTGTTCTTCGAGCGTGACCCTGACCCCCGAGGAACACTCAAGGAGCAGCAAGGTAAAGGTAACCGTATCTCCCGTGTTGTCGAGCTCGCCTCTCCCTCCTTGCCCTTGAGGGCCTTCCTGGGGTTTCCTCTGGGTTTCTGCTTCGCTTCAGCATTCTCAGGGCTTTCCTTGACGGGGAGTCCTGGAACACATCACTTCTCCTACTGTGATTTCAGTGGCATATCCACAACTTCTAACACCTGCGTCTGTAGTGTAGCAAGTTTCACTGCTCTCTTTTCTCTGCCTTTAAATGATATGTTGCTTATAAAATGCTTCAATAACAGTACAAGGCTGCGCATGAATGACTCCAAGGCCAAGTAAGCATATGTGCCCGTCCTTCCCGGCAGACTCTGGAGCAGTCCCTCCTGACGACGTGCGTGGGCTCCCTCGCCGAGCTGAGCGAGCTGCTGGGGCGCGTGGCCCCCACCACCACCGCGCGGCCAACTCCTCCTCCCCGACCCGCGCCCAGGTGAGTCGCCCTGCCTCCTTCTGCTTTCTAAAAGCAAGATAGATGTGCATGAATATAACTGAAAGAATAGCTTAACACTTCATGAAACGCAAACAAAAGCAAACACGATGGTAACCGTGCCCCGCCCCCCACAGGTGACCTGGGGACCGTCCGCCCTGCACGCCCTCTTCTACTTCATGCGCTGCAGCCAGCTGGAGCACGCCGAGCACGCCTCCCGCGCCCCCATCCAGGAACTGGTGTACGAGCGCCCTTACATCGTGCTGCCGCCCCTGCTGGAGTGGGTCCGCGTGGCCACCGCCCACACCGAGCACAGGCACTCCACGGTGGTCGACAAGGACGACGTCATGCAGGCCGCCCGCCTCCTCCTTCCCGGCGTCGACTGCCCCGTCAGGATGATCGGGTGAGTTGAGGAAGCGGCGACGACGCTGTAGGAGGGGGTTCGTCCCCTGTCACGAGTCTCTTTGCTACCGTTAATTATCGGATTCTTCTTGGCTCCTGATATGCGTTGTGCGAACCTCACTGTAATATATATGCCACTCTAGATTTTGTTACAGATACTAGTCTCTGGAATCAATAGGTCTCTTTTTACTAGTCATCCTCATTACTCTTTATATTTTTCCTCTCAGGTACGAAGAACTCATGTGCCCGCGCCGACAGCTGGACGAGATGGAGTGCGCCAAGAAGTTCAAGGTGGACCTGGCCTTCAAGATGCTCTCCTGCGGGCGCTATGACCTGGTGCCGCACGCCCTCCAGCTGCTCCCGGCCACTAAGGTACTGTAAGAGGGGGGTCTGTAACTGCAGCCTGATTGCATCTATCAAAGTCAATCATATTTGATGCTGATTGGTGTATTATCATTTTTTTGTTATTATTATTATTTTTCTTTATTATCATATTTCATGTATTTAAGAATAGTTAAGATACTATTGTCTCTCAAGGTTAATAGTAATCAAACAGCTACACTGGATAAGACTGCATGTTACCTGAAAGTGACCGCCGCCCTTTCCTTCGACAGGTGAACACGGTGAACGAGTACGGCTTGACCCCGCTCATGCTGGCCTGCATCCGCGGCGACGAGCCCATGGTCAACATGCTCCTGGACGCCGGCGCTGACGTGGACGCCGAGACGCCCCCGACGGGCCCCGCCTACCTCATGGCCAACCCAGAGACGCAGCACTGGACGGCCCTCACCTACGCCGCGATACATGGCCACATCAACCTGGCCAAGACGCTGCTCGAGAAGAATGCTAATGTCGAGGGAGGCGCGAGGCTGGCCGAGGAGAAGTGCACGGAGACGCCGCTGCAGGTTCGTCGCGGTGGCTTGCTTGTCCTGCCCTGTTCTGTCTGGGGGGGAGGTTTTGTTCTGACGGAAAAGCTTTCAAAGTTTGTCATCAGTTTTGGAAAAGGAAACTGACACGCGTTTTACCAAGGGGTCTTTATGATCTCGTAATTAGATAAAGACAGAATTATCATAAATCTTAGTTATCTTAATGATTTTTTACAGTTTCTGGTAAAGGAAAAGCAAATAACCCTCTCTCTCTATGACAGGTTGCAGCGGCCGCAGGGAACACCGAGATGATGGCTCTCCTGCTGTCCTACGGCGCCAACCCCTATCTGTCGACGCTCATGAAGGACTCCCTGTGCTACTCCGGCGCCGCGCAACGAGGCTGCTACGCTGCCATCGCCGTCGCTGCGGCTCACGGCCAGAGGACGATTCTTCACAAGCTTCTGTCACAGCCTCAGGTACGCTTTCAGTCGACAGTAGGAAAGGCGAAGAAAAATGTCTGTTGCGGTGCGAGTTTTAGTGCATTTCTGCAGTTTGATGCTTCTGTTATTTGTTTTTACTCTATATAAATGAAAATGCATTTAGCAACCTTTTTAGCGACATTATAATCTTATCAACGAGAAGTCATAACACAATCCTTCGCCATTTTCAGCACGCCTCAGCGCGGGAAGTCCTCTCCCTGGAAGAGATCTTGGCCGAGGGCGCCAACGGGAACACGTCGGACCGAGATCGCCGACCTGGCCGCCAGATGTGCATCGTCGACGACCCCTTCGGGAGAGGCAGCCTCGCCTCCTCGGCCTCGGACTCCTCGCAGGTCCTCAAGCTCACGAAGCAGCAGATAAAAACCCTACAGGAAGCCATGTACCACTCGGCGGAGTCCGGCCATCTGGGTAAGGAGAATTTCTCGGGTTGCCAGGTTTTGATTCAGTTTCATTTTATAGATATTCTTGCTGACTTTTTTCAAAGAAGTGTGAGATTAAAGGGCATTGTTCCGATCTTCTCTTTGCAGAAATGACGCTGGACTTGCGAAATCTGGGCGTGCCGTGGACGCTCCATTGCTGGATGCACACGCTGGCCACCGCCCACGAACACCGCCTCGAGTCCATCATTGATCAGCTGTTGCAAGACTTCCTGCAAGTCTGGCCGGACGATTACTCGGCCCAGTTTGTGGACGAGTGCTTGCCGCTGCTCTTCACTATCTTCAGATATAGCAAGGTAACAGACAGAACACATAACAGATTCATATCATAAAAGATGAATTGGTGTTATAGTCCTAATGAAAAATATCTAAATTTTGCACAATCTTAGTAAAACACTGTAAATGAAGATTCATCCTTAACCAAATATGAAAGACCCTGTAAGTAATACTTACTCTGACCCTCATCCCTCACCTATAGAACGAAGGGACGTCCCTCCTGCTCGCCGACATCTTTTCCTCCTGCTACGGCAAGGAGGCGATCAAGGAGATCCGCGACACGACCATCTCGGGCGGCGCTCGCATCGACCCCAAGTTCGTCAATAACCCCGAGCTGTCCGACGTCCAGTTCCGGGTGGAGGGGCGGGTCTTCTACGCCCACAAGATCATTCTGGTGAACGCGTCGTCGAGGTTCAAGCAGATGCTGAGCTCCAAGTTCTGCGAAGGCAACCCTCCCATCGTGCAGATTCATGACATTAGATATGACATTTTTGAGGTAAAGATTTGGTCTCTAGAGTTGTAAGAAATATCTTCGATTTGAACACATAGCATCAAACTTTTGATAATTTAGAAAAATCGCAATAGTGGGAAATATCTTAAATTAGAACACATTGTATTAAACTTCTAAAAAAAAACAGAAGTGGGAAATATCCTAAATAAGAAAACATTGCTTCAAACTTTTAATAATTAAGAAAAACAATGATTGGTTATCCTAATGTTTTTTGTTCTCTCTCGCACAACAGCTCGTGATGCAAAGCCTCTACAAAGGAGGGTGCGAGAACCTGGAAGTGGAAGCCGGAGACGTGCTAGAACTCATGGCCGCAGCGAACTTCTTCCAGCTGGACTCCCTTCTGCGATACTGCGAGTCACGTTGCTCAAAGCTGGTTCATTTGGATAATGTTGTGTCCATGTACATTCATGCTAAGGTAACGTCAGCTGGTTAATTCTTGATTTTAAAGTCTCTCTCCTTTTGGGGATTAGTTTTATTGTGTAAGGCAATTTTTAGGAGCTGAAGTAAATTCTGTTTGATTTGGATAATGTTCTTGAGGATCTCTGTCCTATCCGTAAACACTTTTTTTTTTACCACTGTAAATGACATTCTAATCAGTTACAACCTTAAAATTTACTTGCGGGATGCACACCAAATATCCTTGTTCAAACAGGCAAATGACTTACATAAACTCCCACAGGTTTATAACGCCGTTCAGCTGCTGGAGTACTGCCAGGGCTTCCTGCTGCAGAATATGGTCGCCTTGCTCACCTTCGACGACTCGGTGCGACGTCTCATCTTCGGCAAGAAGCTGCACAACCACGACGTTCTAGCAGGTCTGCTGATCACCCTGCAGGCGCGCATCAAGGCCCGCTCTTCCCCAAGAGCAGGCAAGAAGTGAGAGGAGCGACGTTATGGAAACGGAATCCTCGAAAAAAGCAATTGCTCATAGCCTCCTGTGTGAGAGCTGCTCACTCTGCAGGTTGCGGGGTGCAATGGCTCCTGTAGTAGGACGAAAGCAGGCGAAACGTGATGGCATAGACTGAAGTTCTATCATCATGTTCTGAAGGCAAATGATCACAAGATTTCCATACTTTACTTTGGGTAAACAAAAGAATTTCATGGACTCAGATCATCTGCCTTCAGATTATGCTAACAATCTGTGATTAATTCTTAAAAAGCTTTGTTCAGTATTTACACTAACTATACTGAGTATAAAGTTTGTTACAATGCGATGTACTATATCATGAAAACCACGTGTTTTAGTGGAGTCACCAGGCTTGTACATAAACAATGATGGCATATCTGATTGTCCATAATATAGCACTTTTGCTGTGCATAGTTCATATATGTATATACACACCAGGTAGGAGTATGCCCTGCTGTCACAAAGAGGGAGGTGACAGCGTATGGCCATTTACATAAGAGTATTTCAAATTTAAGGATGTAAATTCGATAATGTACAGAAAATGGTTGCGGGTTTCATGACATCCTCCCCGAGGATGCGGTTTTCATGATTATAGATTCTAGTTCGAGTGTAAACTAAAAGAGAACGCGCCAAAACCCAACCTCAGGTTGCAGATCAGGAGTTGATTTTTAGGATTACAAAATCAACTTTTTAGTGCTAAACAAGTTTTGCTGCTGCAAGATTTTACAGATCTTCACAGACAGTTGAGTGCCTATCAGTGACCTGACAGACAGTCCAGTGCCGTGGATTTTGTGCCAAAACTTGTGCCAATAAGTGTTTTCATAAGTGCTGCTGATAAGATTTATTAAGAAATCCCGAAACAGAAATGTGAAAGACGAACACTGCTGCAAAGGAAAGTGATCCGTGAAACATTTCTGAAACTGACCCAGTGTCCGAGTGAAAGGTCTGTCTGCTCAAATATCTCCTTAATCACAGTAGTTTTGTTTGGTGTATAAAGAGGTTGCATTGAAAAGCACGCACGGAGGAGGAGGAACAAAACTGACTTTTACTGGTGCTGCGTTGTACATGAACTCATTTTTCTAGGATTGAGAACATTGTTCCATTCGCCTTAGACATAGTGCAAGTTTGGAACAGAAGCTAGCAGTGTAATCCTAAAAGAGAAGGAATACCAGTGACACACCAATCAGGAATATTATTTGTTATGCTTTGTTATTTTTTTGTAAATTTATTATGGACTTCTGTCAATGTATTATTATATGTCGTACATTTGTACTTAATTTTGACATAAGTATGAATGAGATTTGTGTTTTTTCCACTACTTTTTCTTTTAGAGGAAACATATTTAATACATAGCTAGATGAAATTTCAAAAGTATCGCCTGCGTTTCACTGAATAAGCAGTTTCATGTGTAAAAAAACTTTGTTGTGTGATTATTTTTGGATTTAGAAATTTGGTAACACAAGTATATAATTGAGAGAGAGAGAGAGAGAGAGAGAGAGAGAGAGAGAGAGAGAGAGAGAGAGAGAGAGAGAGAGAGAGAGAAGAGAGAGAGAGAGAGAGAGAGAGAAGAAAGAGAAGAGAGAGAGAGAGAGAGAGAGAGAGAGAGAGAGAGAGAGAGAGAGAGAGAGAGAGAGAGAGAGAGAGAGAGAGAGAGAGAGAGAGAGTCGTATTCTATCCCTTTTTTTGTATTATAATATTCTTACAAATTCCAAAATAGTCACGAGCAACTTACCCACTTTACTGACTACTGAACACTTCAATATAAGTGTTCTTTAGTTCTCCCAGGAGTTCTTTTTAGTGCAATATTACGTTAACTATTTAATCCTTTTCCATTGCATTTACTTCCTAAAGATAAGTATGTTTCCTTCACGAGATTCAAACAATAAACAAGCCAACTTTTTGCCTCCGTATGCTCATCCCTATACATGTACAGTACCTTGTCCTTAGTCACAAGACCGTCTGGATGGTGATAATGATTAACGATCGTCTAAGTAACGGACCTTAACCTTTTATGTGAAAGAGAAGAATGATTAGTTTCGTTTTATTAGTCACCGAGTCAAAAGATCAAATTCTTTCCCTTTGGAATTGGTAGCAAAAACATTTCACTTTCTTGAGAAGACTCTAGATAAGAGGAGGAAAGAGAGACCGCAGGCAGGGACAGGGACGTCTCGTGACGAGGCCTTGCAACAGAGCTATTCCGGAACCCCCCCACCCCCACTGTTGTACAATACCACTACCTCAGGTCTACTTGTGTCGTCCTGTGTGTTTGTTTATTTTTGTTGTTATTGTTCTCTGTATATATTGTTCACTGCCAGCTAGAATTCTACAAGTGCCAAGCAGTTTTCTTGCTTCGTTGACGCACTGGATTTGACAAGTGCTCAAGCATACCTGTTAGCCCTGCTACACAAGGCAGTTTGTACATACATATAGCAACATAATCTCCAATTATAGTTTAATGATTATATTTCATTTCATTTGAATTGTGTAGTATATAGTTTTCATTTTTTAAAAAGAAATTCGACAGCCTTTTTTCTATTCACTCTTCTATTGTTTTCTCATTATTCTCTGCATTTTGCTCTATATAACTTAAGGAATTTATAAATAATGAGACAGTAGTTACTCATTACATGCAGAACAACAGCAGCAGAAGTACTATAGTTTTTTTTTACTGTTCACTGAATGAAGTGGTACATAAACTTTTATTTCTCCTCTGTTCTCCCCACCCTTTAGAATGAATACAAAATATTATGCACGTGCAGGGTTTTATTATATACAACATTGTGCGTGTGTGTGTGTGTGTGTGTGTGTGTGTGCGTGTGCGTGTGCGTGTGCGTGTGTGTGTGTGTGTGTGTGTGTGTGTGTGTGTGTGTGTGTGTGTGTGTGTGTGTGTGTGTGTGTGTGTGTGTGTGTGTTATGTATGAATGTTTTACGAATGTAAATGCGCGCGCACCAACACACGCACGCACACGCACACGCACACGCACACGCACACGCACACGCACACGCACACGCACACGCACACGCACACGCACACGCACACGCACACGCACACGCACACGCACACACACACACACACACACACACACACACACACACACACACACACACACACACACACACACACACACACACACACACACACACACACACACACACACACACACACACACACACACACATGAATGTGTGTGTATATATATATATATATATATATATATATATATATATATATATATATATATATATATATATATATATATATATATATATATATATATATATAATTTGCATGTATGTAAGTACATGTATGTGAAAATTATATACACAGCCACATAAACCCTCCCATGTATAAAAAGTGAACACAAATTAAGCCCGACACACGATTCCCAAACAACGGAAATTCATCGCAGTCATTATCGCACCTCTTAAGAGACAAGCGGATCTGGCAAAGAAAATAAACACAGACATAGTTACCAGACACACAAGAGGATTAAGATCTTATATATATATATATATAAATCAACATAAATAGATAGACAAGAGTGATGCAGGTTCTCTTTAATTTCGCGAGACATCTTAAAACTCTTTTATTTTAAGTTCCTACATTAACTTTCTAAAATCTCAGGTTGCCTCTCCGCTTCTTTCTCTTTTTTGCGACCCCCCCCCCTACAAAAGATACATTCCATCTAAATATTGATACCTTTATATATTTATTGATTTCTCATCCTGTTTACTTTTTGGAGGTGAAAGACTGATCTGTATATTTTTTTAGATATCTTCGTCGAATATATTGGTTTTATTTATTTACTTTAGACGAAATTAGTATTGGAATATTAGCTTATATCTGGAAATTACGTTCTTGCAAAGCTGGCATTGTGTAACTTTGCAAATGCAACTTATATTACTATTGGATGTACCACTTTTTCTCTCCATTGAGAACGCTCAATACACAGTTCATTCAGAACTTTCATACAAAATGTCTGGCACTCCACATCTTAGGTTAATTTCATTATTGAAAATAAATCCATAGTTTCTGTTTTTCATTCTCTTACTTTAAGGTTCCATGTAAAGTTATTCTAAAAAATATAATTTCAAGAATTACTGTAAATTCAACAATCCCTTTATTTCCTTCCTGCTATTTCCCCCTTTACAAGCAAGAGTAGGTATGCAATTATTGGTCAGAAATGGCTGCATGTGTACAGATTACCACCTACAGTTCAGAGATAGTGGGCCTTGGTGTCAGCACAATGCTTTGTCCGTGAAAGTGGATGATGGACCCTCGTAATGTCTGGGTCCAAAAAGCCGTTGTTCTGTCTGCAAGGCAATGCATGAGGGCAGACTAATTTGCTGTAAGTTAAGTGCTGTGTATACGTACCGTCCAATAAAATAACCAGGATAAACTGCGGAGCTCTCTTATTAACCTTTATGGGTATTAGATTTATATGGGGGTAGCATTTGAAAGATACGGATGTTAATATTAGTATGAGTTTCGAAAGCAAAACTTAAGTAAAAAGGCAGTATTTTATTAGGATAAACTATAAATGTGAATAACAAGAAAGATGAAGTCAGGCTGAGATGATAAAATGTGTACTTGAATACTTACTATTAGCCTTTATATAGTAACCGTAAAGCGTATTATGATCAAAGCTATAAAGCATAAATATAAAAAGATAATGTCTTAGGAACAATGAAAGACTTAAAGCTATCATTGTCGTCCGTGTAATTCTCTAGCACAGTACTGGTAATAACATAAACAATAAATAATGATTAAGACAATGATAATGACGATAACCCCACTACTATAATGATTATGATAAAAACGATAAATGACCATATGAATAACTAACACTCCATTAAAGTCATGTCGATATCATTGATTATAAAACTAAAGAAAATTCCTTTAGGAATTCAAAAAGATTAATAATGCTAATAACCATAATTCCATCAGAAATAAGGATAATATAATTGAAGTGAAATAATTTAGATAGGGGACTGAATTCGACGATATGAGGAAATGAAAATGATTAACATCCAGATAAAGATTTTGCAAAATCAAATAAAAAGAGCAGTCAAAAAAAGGAAATGGATAGATAACTAATAAATAATAAAAACCCTCTGCGGAGTTACTTCCACATAGTAGTAAGTTTTCGTTCTCTATCCACTATCAATCAATGGATCCTAAACATGTTATTATCATTTACTCATATTTATAACATAAATTGTGTGAATTTACCTGCATTCTCAGAAAACAAACTGTTCATTTCAAGCACCAATAAGAAAAAAAGAAGAAGAAAAAAATTGGTCCTGAACACAAAATGAGAGAGGTCTAAAAGAAGATCGGTGATCAACAGCACGACATAAAACACAGGAACTTTCAACAGACGAAATACCTGCGCAGATAATGTCTTTGTAACTTGGCAGCTGCACCATAGATTAGTCTACAAATAACTCAGAGCAACATTTTAATATCGAGGAGAAAGGGACAACCGTCTGCGCATAAAAAAATACAAAGATCATAAACAATTTAGGGCCGCATAGCAAGACTGGAATTCTACGGAAATTCGTCTGCTAAACGAAAACAAAATACGACCGACGGAGGGTGACGTCACTTAAGATTTTTTTTTTTTTCCGAAGGCCGTATTTTTTATTTTCTTTTTATTTTGATGCAAAATAAAAGTGTTGAAGATGATAATGAGATATTCTCCCATGTTCAAATAAATTAAACATGAAAATTGATGAAGACATCCTGGTATGAACTAATATGATGTGGCAGATCGAACGTCATCGCGGCGGAAATTTCATTCAGTATTTCGTCAGCTGGTCTTCTAGCTGGGCATCATCAAAGGCAGAGCCACAATTCCATAGAGTGACTTTAAATCTTCAGCCCTACAACACAAAAATAATAGTCGTATACTTTTTAGATTAATAAAGTTTACAGGTTCGATGTAGCATTTTCTTAAGTTATACATCTAATACATTTTCTATAAAGAGATAAGGGTGTATTTTGTTTTTGAATATTACATTACTGGCTTGGTAATGTACTTATTGTAAATTCTTTATGCAGTAGAATAAACAAGAAAGTAACACAGGGAATCTTATAATCGCCAGACTTTGATCCAACGCGCTGTAACTGTAATTTCATTTTTATCCGTTTATGATAGTGCATGGTATAATATTATTATTTGTATCCGTTTTCTTTATCAAATGATATTTAGAGAACGGCAGAAATGCTGCCACGGAAAAGCTGACAACCCTGCCGCATATGTGAAGAGGCGCAGCTGGGGGAAAGGGCTGCAATGCAACGGAAATTCGTCTGCTAAACGGAAACAAAAGACGACCGGGAGATGGTAAAGGGACTACAGATT